CATATATCATAGAGGTCCCAGAAGAAGAGAGAGAGAAAGGAGTTAAAAATATATTTGAAGAAATAATGACTGAAACTTCAATAACCTGTCAAAGGAAATCGACATACAAGTCCAGGAAGCAGAGTCCAAAACAAAATGAACTCAAAGAGGCCACAAAAAGACACATCATAATTAAAATGCCAAAGGTTAAAAACAAAGAGAGAATCTTAAAAGTATCAAGAAAAAAGGAGACAGTTAGGTACAAGGGAACTGCCATAAGACTATCAGCAAATTTGTGCAAAGGTTTGCAGGCTAGAAGGGATTGACGTGAAATATTCAAAGTGATGAAAAGCAAGGTCCTACAACCAAATTACTCTACTCAACAAGATTTATCATTTAAAATCGGAGAGATAAAGAGTTTCCAAGACACAAAAAAGCTAAAGGAGTTCACCACCACCAAACCAGTATACAAAATACGTAAAAGGAACTTCTTTAAGTAGAAAGGATCAAAACTGTAAATATTGGAAAGAAAAAAATCTCCTCAACAAAGGCAAATACTTAGTAAAAGCAGTGGATCAACTAATTATAAAGCTAGTATAAAGGTTAAAAGAATATCATGTGTAATTACAACAATAAATTTAGTACTACATACAAATACACACAAAATAAGTAAAAAAACAATGACGAAAACATGATTGTGGAGGGAGTAAAAACTACTATTTTTAGAATGTGTTCAAACTTAAGTGACCATGAACTTCAAATAGACTGCTTTAAACATAACTTGGTACATATAAAGCACATGACAATCATAAACCAAATATCAGTAAGAGAGATACAAGAGCTCTGGCCGGTGTGCTCAGTGGTTAGAGCATCAGCCCATGCACCAAAGGGTCACGGGTTTGATTCCCGGTCAAGGGTGCGTACTTGAGTTGTAGGTTTGATCCCCAGCCTCAGCCAGGGCATGTGTGGTAGGCAACCAATCAGTATGTCTCTATCACATCAATATTTCTCTCTCACTCTCCCTTGCATTCTCTACAAATCAATGAAAGGGATATCCTCAATTGACAATTAACAAATAAGCAGAAAAAAAGAAATAAGAAGAAACCCAGAAATAACACTATAGAAAGTCATCAACATATAAGGGTAGAGTCAAGAGAATAGGAACAGAGAACTACAAAAACAACCAGAAAACAATTAATAAAATGGCAATTACTACAAACGTGTCAATAATTGCTTTAAGTGTAAATGGACTACATGCTCCAATCAAAACACAAAGGGTGGCTGAATGGATAAAAAAAAACAAACAAAGTCATACATATATTTCCTATAAAAGACCCACTTCAGATCAAAAGACACACACAGACTGAAAGTAAAGGGTTAGAGGAAAGATATTTCATGCAAGTAAAAATGAAAAAAGGCTGAGGTAGCAATATTTATATCAGACTTAAACTAGACTTTAAGACAAAGGCTGGGCCCTAGCTGGTATGGCTCAGTTGGCTGGGCATCGTCTTGTGCACCAAAAAGTTGCTGGTTCGATTCCTGGTCAGGGCACATATCCGGATTGTGGGCTCAATCCCCAGTAGGGGTCATGCAGAAGGCAGCAGATCAATGTTTCCCTCTCCCTCCCTCTCTCTAAAAGTCAATAAAAATAACTTTAAAAAAAGAAAGACAAAGGCTGTAACAAAAGACAAAGAAGGGCATTTCGTGATGCTAAAGAGATCAATCCAATAAGAATATGTAATTCTCACAAATATCTACACACCAACGTTGAAGAACCAAATATATAAAGCAAATATTGACAGACACAAAAAGAGAGATCAGTAGTAATACAACAGGGAGCTTTAACACTCCACTGAAATCAATGGATAGATTGCCGAGACAGATAATCAACAAGGAAACAGTGGCCTTAAATGACACACCAGATTGGAGGGATTTAGTTGATTTTTTTCAGAACATTTCACCCAAATGCAGCAGAATATACATTCTTCTCAAATGCACATGGAACATCTGCCAGGATACAAAACATGTTAGGAAACAAAACAAGTCTCAATATATTTAATAAGATTGACATCATATCAACCATCTTCTCCAATCAAAATGGTATGAAACTAGAAATCCATAACAAGAAAAAAAACTGAAAAACAAAAACATGTGGATGCTAAATAACGTGTTACTAAACAATGAATGGGTTAACAATAAGATCATAGTGATAAATGAAAATGAAAATAAACCAACTAAAAAAAAAAAAAAAAAAAAAAAAAAGGTCAATGAGACACAGCCAAAGCAATTCTAAGAGGGAAATTCATAGCAATGTAGGATTACATCAAGAGACAAGAAAAATCTCAAATAAAGAATCTTCTAGCCCTGGCCGGTTTGGCTCAGCAGTTAGAGCATCGGACTGTGGTCCGGAGAGACCCGGGTTCGGTTCCCGCTAAGGGCATGTACCTCGGTTGCAGTTTGTCCCCGGCCCTGGTTGGTCGTGCGGGTGGCAGCCACTCGATGTGTCCCTTTCACGTCGATGTTTCTCTCTCTCTCTCTTCCTCTCCCTCCCACTCTATCTGTACAGAAAATGGAAAAGTGTCCTCGGGTGAGGATTAAAAAAAAAAAAGAATCTTCTATACCTAGAGAAATTAGAAAAAGAAAAACAAACTAACAGACAAAAAATTCAAGTGAGCCTGGCCGGTGTGGCTCAGTGGATTGAGCATTGTCCCATAGACTGAGAGGTCCCAGTTCAATTCCTGGTCAGGGCATATGCCAAGGTTGCAGGATCAATCTCCAGTAGGGGGCATGCAGGAGGCAGCTGATTGATGTTTCTCTTTCACATCGATGTTTCTATCTCTCTCAATTCCTCTCTCTCTAAAAAAAAAAGTCAATAAAACACATTTTTTTAAAAAATCTAAGTGAATAGAAGGAAGGAAATAATGAAAATCAGAGTGGAAACAAATGAAAGAGACTTAAAAAAAAAAAAAAAGCAATAGAAAAGATCAATGAAACTTATGAACCATTTGCCTAACTCATCAAGAAAAAGAGAAGGGCCCTGGTTTGTCTGACTGGTTTGTCTCAGTGGTTAGATTGTCGGCCTGCGGACCAGAAAGTTCCGAGTTCGATTCCCGCTAAGGGCACATACCTCAGTTGCAGTTTGTCCCCAGCCCCAGCTGGGGTCATGTGGGTGGCAACCACTCAATGTGTCTCTCTCAGATCAATGTTTCTCTCTCTCTCTTCCTCCTTCTCTCCCTCCCACTCTATCTGAAGATAAATGCAAAAATGTCCTCAAGTGAGGATAAAAAACAGAGAGAGAGAAGGGCCCAAATGAATAAAATCAGAAATGAAAAAGAGGCATCAATGGACATCACAGAAATATAAAGGATTACTCCAAAAATATTATGGCCCTAGCCAGTGTGGTTGAGTTGGTTGAGCATCATCCCATTCACCTAGAGGTCACCAATTTGATTCCCAGTCAGGGCAAATGCCCAGGTTACAGGCTCAAACCCCAGTAGAGGATGTGTAGGAGGCAGCTGATCAATGGTTTTCTCTCTCATCAATGTTTCTCTCTCTCGCTCCCTCTTTCTTCCCCTCTGTCTAAAATAAAAATACATATTTTTAAAAAACATAATTCGTAGGAACATACAATCTTCCAAAATGGATTCAGGAAAAAAGAAAAAATGTGAACAGAACAATAGCTACTAATGAAATCAAATTAGTAATAAAAAAAATACCCAACAAACAAAAGTCCTAGACCAAATTTTACCAAACAATCAAAGATAATACCTATACTTCTGAAACTATCCCCCAAAAAATTGAAGAAGAGGAAATGCTCCCAAACTCATTTCACAAGGTCAGCATTACCCTGATACCAAAACCAGACAAAGACACTACAAAAAATGAAAATTATATGCCAATATACCAAATCAACAGAGATGCAAAAACCGTAACTAAATATTAGCAAACTGAGTTCAGCAATACATTTAAAAGATCATATACTATGGATCAAGTAGAATTTATTCCTGAAATTCAAAATTAGGTCAATATTCACAAATCAATTAACATGATACACCACATAAAACAAAATCAGTAATAAAAATCATATGATCATATTAATAGATGCAGAAAAAGCATTTGACAAAATCCAACATCTATTTACAATAAAAACTATTTGCAAAGTGTGACAAGAAGCCATATATGACAAAACCATAGCTAACATCATACTCAATGGTGAAAAGCTGTAAGCTTTTTCTTTAAGATCAGGAAAGAGAAAAATAGTGTACATTCCTCCACTTCTGAAGCCTGTGTGCTGGTTCCAGGGGAAAATTTTGTCTAATTCAGCATTATATCCTAACCACAAACCACTACTTAAGTTGAGTTACCCCCTTTTCTTTATTGTTTCTGCTACAGACTAATTGAAACTGTCCTTAGTCATCTGAAAGCCTCTTTTTGTTGTTGTTAATCCTCACCAGAGGATATTTTTCCATTGATTTTTTTAGATAGAGTGCAAAAGAGGAAGGGAGGGAGAAAAACATCCACATGTGAGAGACACATCAACTGGTTGCCTCCCGCACACCTCCCAAACTGGGCCAAGGACTGAACCTGCAACCCAGGTACATGCCCTTGACAAGAATTGAACCCAAGACCCTTTGGTCCGTGAGCTGACACTCTAACTGCCGAGCCAAATCATTCAGGGTCTGACAGACTCTTCATTTAACAGCCTCATAGTCAACTAATTTCTCAGCCTCACATCTTGTCCTCTATACTCTTTATCCTCCACACAGAGGTCTTTCTAAATGACAAAGCAAACATCACTTTCAAGCTTCTAAAAATTATCTAATGCACCCACTGTTCCTCTTTCACAGAGACCTTTGATGCCAGGGACTTTGGAGGTCTCTTTTTTTGCCCAGTCCACTATATCACAGTGGCTTTCTATATCTTCCACCTATGCCTAGCATGACAGTCCTCACCTTAAGAAACAAATTACCTCTTCCAAGTTCCCTTAAATTAAACCTTTAAGAATGTTTAGATGCACTTACTGCAGTGAAATCCATCTTCAATTCAATCACTTTAGTTAAATCAGGAAGTGCTGCTTTTGATTTGCCCATAGCTAAAAAGGCAGTAGCTCTCCGATAATAAGCAACATAGTTGTCTGGGTCACCATCTGAAAATTAAAATAAGAATTAGCTCTCAGTAATTTATTTTATAAAACCGAGTCACCTGAACAATATTAGAGTTTGCAATTCTATTAAGAAAGTCTAAGAAAAGAATTTCTTCATCAATAATGAGTCATGTTGCCATTATTTGTCACTGCAAATAAATCCAGAACAGGTGTCAGCAAACTGTGGCCTCTCAGCCATATTCAATCCACAAACTTCAAGTTAACAAATGTTTTACATTTTTAAAGAGTTATTAAAAAAAAAACAATGCAACAAATCCTAAAATATTTATTATCTGGTCCTTTAGAGAAAAGTTCACCAACCTCTAGTCTGAAATACTAACTACATTCAATTCATAACTTTGTCTTTACTGAAATTTTCTTAAGTGAAATACTGACTGAAAATGTAGACTATGCACTTATTCACAGGATTTTAAGATTAGAGACTTCCAATTAAATCAATATATTGAATGTGCTCCCTCACAAACTCCAACTAAAATGGTAATGAAGAAATAAAGGTACAAACCTTAGACAAAGAATGAGAGTGAGACTAAAGAGCAAGACGAAAGAAGTTAAAAATATTTGAAGAAAAGCAGATGGATGAGTCAGGTTTCTGAGCTAATTCCACTCTGCTCAGCACCTACAAAGTGGGGAAGGAGTGAATTCAATTAGAAGCAAACCTCCTGTTACTGAACAATTCTTTCAGAAAGCAACTACGAAATGTGTGTGTGTGTGTATTTGTGTAGATATATCAAGAATTTTAAAAATGATTTTGACCAAATCTGGCCATCTATCTAAAAAAATCTATACTGATGTCCCTCATTATAAAATTTACCACTAAAACTCACTGAAAGTTCCATCCCTGAAAGTCCTATCATTTGAAAAATATTATAATATGAAAATCTATATGGCAGAATAATATATAATCATTCAAAATTATGCTTTTGAGCAGTTGTTAATGGCATTGAAAACTACCTGAAGTGCTGCTGGGGGAAGGTGGGGCAGAAGGAGAGAAACCATGTATGCAAGAAGATATACAAATAGTCAATAAGCACATGAAAAGATGCTTAACATCACTAACCATTGGGGAAATGCAAATCAAAACCACCTGAAAATACCACTTCACACCCATTAGGATGAAAGGAAGAAAGGAAAAAGAAAAGGGAGGAAGGGAGGGAAGGAAAGAGGGAGGGTGGAAATAAGCACTGGTGAAGAGGTGGAGAAACTGGAGGAGACCTTGTGCACACTATTGGAGGGAATGTAAAATAGTGCAGCTGCTCTAGGGAAGTTCCTCAAAAATTAAACAGAATTACCTCATGAACCACCAATTCTACCTCTGGGCATAAACTCAAATGAAAGCAAAGTTTAAACAGACATTTGTATACCCATGTTCACAGAAACATTATTCACAATAGCCCAAAGATGGAAAACAAATGTGGCATATACATAAAATGGAACATTATTACTTAGCCTTTTAAAAGGGAACGAAATTCTGATATATACTACAACACAGATAAACCTTGAAGGCATTATCCTACGTGAAATAAGCCAGATACTGAAGGACAAATATTGTAGGATTCCACTTCTATGAGGTACCTAGAGTGTCCATTTTATAGAAACAGAAATTAGAATGGTGGTTGCCAAGAGCTGAGAAGGGAAGGGGATCAGAAATTAACTATTTAATGAATACAGAGTATCAGTCCGAGATGATGAAATAGCTCTGGACATAGATGGTGGTGATGGTTTACACAACAATGTGAATGAACTTAATGTCACTGAACTATATGTTTAAAATGGTATATTTTGTTTTATATATTTTATTGTACTAAGAATTTTATTATAGTAACTTTTTTAAATAAGAGAATCAGGCATTTAACATTTCTAAAAACTTTATTTTTTCTTAAATCTACAACAAAAACAAACAAAAAATACCTACTCATGATCCCAGCTAAGCATTATTGAAATTTCTTCCCTAATCAATTTCCCTTGGAAGGCAAGGGAAGAAGAGCAAACAATAGCCTTTTGTATAGGGTGTTTCCTACAGACTATTATAATTAGCTTGAAGAAAGAATAAGAAACAAAGTATACAGAAAACATACTTGACACAGAATATTTTTAGGTTATACTTAATTAAGAATGTGCAATAAATTAAAAATATATTGGTCTGGTCAGCATAACTGGACCTAAGAATGATTAACTACCTAAGGATTACTGAAACTTAAGTGACTGCCTCTGAAAGTAGAAGGAAATTCACTATCTGGGCAGATAGATTTTCTTCTTTATGCTGTCCACATTTTCCAAAACGTTTCGTAATGAACATGGAACACGTTTACATTAATTGAAAAAAAAAACAAAAACAAAAATCAAGTTCTACATGACTTATTTACACTAAGCAAAGAATAAGAAATACTAGAAATAACATGATTTAAGACCTGGCGTTTACACCACACACCACACACTATCATCTTCATATATCCAAATCCTTCTCAGTCTTTGAGGCATAGCTCAAATGACTTGATTACAAATGTGAAAATAAACCTTCCAGTCCCTCAATTTCCATAACATTATATATACATATAAGATATATATCTTACTACACCTAAGACTTATCACTCCCTCCCAATATCAGTTATTTATATACACACTTCAGTCTAGAGAAAATAAATTCCTTGAGTGAATTCATTTTTGTGTCTCCATAGCTAGCACCTGGCCCACAGGTATTGAAAGGAAAGGAAATGCAATAAAAAAATTTAAAAAGCCTGATAACTGCAACAAGGAACACTCCCACATCATCGTCAGCACAGACCTCTCTGAGACAAGCAAGGGACCCAAAGAAGTCAGCCCAGACATACACGGCTCTTAAGCAGACATGCCTCCCGGGGTATTCAGATCATTCTCCCACATGAAATTAGCAATGGTATTTTAAAAAACAGACGTTGCTTATCTTTAACTCTGTATAAAGATCTTTCAAGAAAAAAAATGAAGCTTATTGGTAGCTTTGGGCATTTTATCAAGAAGGTATCTTCAGTAAAAAGTATTGGACTTCCATTTGAAAAAAACAGACCATTTCAGTCTGTACAGAAAAACCTCCAAAGAGAATTGTATATGACAAAGCTTTTTTATTAAGTATCTGATTATATACATATTTAAAATGTCTATATAAAGTATTTCTGAGGCATTCACTTACTTTACTATTCAGTTTTTAGGTATGTTACTATTCAGTTTTTAGGTATTTTTAAGATATAAAATGGAATTGGAACCCCATTTCAATCTGTAACACAACCTACAAAAAATAAGGAATCAAAAGAAAAAGGCTCAATATATAAATCAAGTACCATTTGCTTAGTGGTAGAGAGTCACTTTAATGGCAAAATAGAATAGCCTTCCCTGGCTCCTCACCTTAATATACCAACAGTCCTTAGAACAAGTGACCCTTCCTGTATCATTGCATATAAAACAGCAACTGAACAAGGACTGGTTTAAGAAATTCATGCTTTGTTTCCCATAATACAAAATTTGATAATGTTGGGAAAAAATCGCTTTTCCTATTATCCACTCAATATACAATATAGTTCATTTTAAATTACTTGCAAGCCTGCATATGTAGAAATACCCAATTTCATTTGAAAACATGTAATTCAAATTGTTACACTAGTTTATTAGAAATGTGAATGTGAAAGATGAATTTAAGGTTTAATCCTAAAACTATCAAACAATTCAAATATGAGAAAATTAGCCCTAATAAAATACAACTACTATCTGGAGAAAATATATCAGGAAGTCAATTACAAATGATGTTGTAAACAGTGGTAGCGGGAGGCAAAAAGACCACCACGCTTGCCTAGGTATAAAATTATTTTTTATTCTGGCTCCCAGCTAACCTAACTCTACCCACTTCATTCATTCAAACTTTACCTGAGCACCAATCAGCTATTAAAATTAAAAAATAATAACAACAGTAATAATACCTATCCTAAGAAGTTCACAATCTTTCGAACTGGAATGTGACCTTTAGAAAGTCACTAGAGCACTTTTCGTTTCCTTCTGTCTAAATCTGAATAGTAATATCCATACCCATTTCACAAGTGCGGTTCAAATGTCATGAGAAAGCATCATATACTTAAGTAACAATAAATGCAGACACGGATTTTGTTTTTTGTTTTTTTGAGTTAGCAAAACTACATTAAGTGTGATACCGGTTTTCTTACCAAGCAAATAGAGAAACCTATCATTTCAGGCATGCCCACCATTTAATCCATGTTAGACATTCATTCATGCCAGATACACCCAAGACATTCTGTAAGGTATATCAAAGACATAATTTCACACCCTAGAATACATTTCAGACCTATGAAACAAGATCACACTGCGGGAATGAGAGGTAGGGCCATCTTCAAACCCCCACGGCAGTTTTCTCTGATAAATCTCTAAACAAAACTTGTGTCTGACTTCTCCTTCATTATATTAAAATGAATGCAACTGTTGCAGAAGACTATTTAAAAAGTGATAATGAGCACTCTTCCTTAAATCAAATGTTTCCAACAGATCAAAAATATTTCCCGATCAGTTCTAAATCTTAAAACCCCTGCTAAAAAAATTTACATACCAGAAACAAAAAAAATTTAAAACCAAATCACTGATAAATCTGTACAAGGTAGAAATAATTATTTGTATTGCTATGCAGCTTTAATAGATAATTTTTTATTGTGTAAACATGTAATCATAAAACATTCCATGCCCAAGTAATTTTCAAAACATTCAAGTAATTTTTCAAAAATAAAAATGGCAGAAAGGGTGTCACAACCATAAATAATGTCTGCAACATTGTAATTAAAAAAATGATTCGGTGATACCATGATGCTAGCCAAATTCTATTAAAAACTTTAACATCAATGTTTAATCACAGATGAAGCTGAAGAAAAAACATTTTAAAAACTTTTTATATAGTCAGTTTAAAGGAATATGTTAAAACATGAATGATATTTTACCACAAAATATAATATTTTATCAGCGTACATTTTGAAGTAGCACAGCCCTATGACCTGCAGCAATAAGTGAATAACTTGTTAGTCTCTAGAAGAATTCACTGTTAGCTAGAGGCTCTCATCAATTCACTGGGTTACCTGAAGCAACCAACATGGTCACACTAAATTTGTTTGTTTTTTTGTTTTTTTTTTAAATCCTCACCCGAGGACATTTTTCCATTATTTGTTCAGGTAGAGTGGGAGAGAGAGGAACAGAGAGAGAGAGAGAGAAACATCGACGTGAAAGGGACACATCGAGTGGCTGCCACCCGCACGACTGACCAGAGCCGGGGACAAACTGCAACCAAGGTACATGCCCTTAGCGGGAACCGAACCCGGGTCTCTCAGGACTGCAGGCCGACGCTCTAACCGCTGAGCCAAACCGGCCAGGGCTGGTCACACTAAATTTGATGTCTGGTAAATGAGACAACTGAAAGAGGATCTACACTTCTTTTCTGATACACACATCTCATAAGAGATTCAACAGGCCATGACACCACATCACCCCATCACTATCTATTATATATTGTCATCATATATAAACTTTATTTTCTATAGTTAGTTATGAACAACCAGTGTTTTACATAAACTAAAATAATGAATGTCTCATACCACACAAATCTTCCTCAGAAATGACATCTGTACCATTTGAGAATCACTGCCACTTGCCAAATTATGAACAAAGCGACACTGCTATTCGAATTCTGAGTGCAACAAGTGTTCCACTTTTTACTGAATTTCACAAATAAATTATTTTAGCTTTAGCTTTACTAGTGTACATCTTTCAGTGAAGACAATAATATATTATTGGGTATTTTGGGGAAGAGCCAGCTAAAAAAAAATAGGCAGTCATTTTAAATTACTTTAACAATAAACATACCATAGCCCTTAATATTTCCGCTAAATATGGGATTATAGAACGCAAATCATAGAGTATAAAATAGGTAGAAAGCATAAGTTTCTGAAAATACTTTTGTGGTGGTGGGGAATAATCATTTTTTAAAAAATGTTTTTATTGATTCTTTTTTTTTAGAGAGAGGGAGAGAGACAGAAACATCGATGTGAAAGAGATATATCAATGGGCTGCCTCCTGCACGCCTCCTACTGGGGATCAAGCCCGTAACCCAAGCATGTGCCCTGACCAGTAATCAAACCGGGACCTCTACATCAATAGGCTGCCTCCTGCATAGCCCCTACTGGGGATCAAGCCCACAACTCAGACATGTGCGCTGACCAGGAATCAAACCAGGACCTCTCAGACCATGGGATGATGCTCAATCCACTGAGCCACATGGGCCAGGCTCAATTTTTTTTTTTAATGCATGCTTTACCTAAGACATTAATTGAACGATTTTTAGTTATCATGTTACAGCACTGAAGACAGTTCAAATCACCAGAAAAGTTAACTCTTATATTGATGATCTCAAGTCACCAAGAAAATTAAATTGTATTTAGTGAAATTTTTAAAGAAAATTATGGAATACACTGAAAAAAGTTTTCTGTCACAATTATCTTGAATTTGCCCTGGCTGGTGTGGCTCAGTGATTACAGTGTCGGCCCATGGACCAAAGGGTCTTGGGTTTGATTCCCAGTCAAGGGCCCATGCCTGGATTGCAGGTTCAATCCCCTGGCCTGGTTGGGGAAGGTGTGGGAAGCAACCAATCGATGTGTCTCTCTTACTTGATGTTTCTCTCTTTCTCTCTCCCTCCACCCCTCCTTTCCACTCTCTCTAAAAACCATGGAAAAAATATCCTCCGGTGAGGATTATAAAAACAACAATTATCTTGAATTATTCTTGGCATTTACAGTAGTAAACCCCAGTTACTACCTGGAAATTTCTCTCATGCGAAATACATATGCATTCAAGTATTATGCATTTATTTTACTAATCTATTTCACTCAGAATCCTGCAAATATTAAATGTTGTACTTAAGCATTAAATGATGTTTAATTTAAATGTTATTAAAAAATAACAGCTATTAATTAGATAGCTATTAATTGACTAAGATGGCCACTGAGTGTTTTACTTCCAAGATACAAACCTACTGCAGCATGAAACTGCGATAAAGCATCAGCTAGCTGTCCAGCAGCAAGTAATTTCTTCCCCAATTCAAGATGTTTCTCAACATCTGCATTTACTCCACATTCAGCACCTAAAAACAAAAAAAACAAAAAAATAAGATAACTTTCCATGGACCAAGACTTAATTCTAAAGAATAAAATGTTAAAGCTATAATTAAGTATGTGTCTCAGACGTTTATAAGAAAAGTAACAGGAGCTGAAAAGTCACCTAGAGAAAATAACACTAAAGTACAAATAGTGCTTCATTTTACACAGTATAAGCAACCCAAAATACACCATAACAACCTAGTCAATGACAAGAATGTAACCAGTCTACAAAATATAAGGGAAACTGTCTAACACAGCAGGAGTAAAAATATGTTGAAAAACAAAATTAGACTCTCACTTTAATGAATATTTATCGAGACCACTATAATATTAAAGTACTTCCTAAGCATCTACAATGCACCAAGCACTGTTCTAAGTATTTAGGATAAGTGCACAAAACAAAAACCTGTGCCACTCACAATGCCTGACATTACAGGGGACAGACAGACATAAGAAATAAATACATTACATAGCATGTTAGAGGAAAAGTACTATAAAAAAAGCAGAACTGTGAGACAGGGGTCAGAAGTGCTGGGGCTTTCAGCATTAAGTAAGGTGGTGAAGGGTGGGCTTCATTGAGAAGCTGACATTTAAGCAAAGATTTCAATGAAGGACGTGAGGAACTAACTTTACATGCAGATATATAGGAAAAGAGCTTTCCAAGAATAACCAGCTAGTGTGAGGACCCTAAGTCAGGAAGGAGCATGCCAGGTTATGTTCCAGAAACAGCAGGAAGACCAAAATGACTTTCCCAGAGCCGACAGGGGAGAATGCAGTATAACATGAAGCCAAAATAGATGGCCTATGTACAGTTTTGGTTTCACTCTTGGTAAAATGGAGAGCTACTGAGGAATTGTGAGTAGAATAACATGATCTGACTGACCAAGCTAATTATCAATGTGCTGCCTCTCTGCTTTGAATTCATCTTTCAGTACTTGGCTATAAAAAAAATGGACTAGAGCCCAGCTGGTGTGACTCAGTCGACCCCATGCATCAAGAGGTCACTGGTTCGATTCCCGGTCAGGACACATGCCCAGGTTGTGGGCCAAATCCCCAGTGAGGGGCATGCAGGAGGCAGAAAATAAATGTTCCCTCTCATCGATGTTTCTCTCTCTCTCTCCCTCTCCCTTCCTCTCTCTAAAATCAATAAAGAAAAATAAATTTTTTAAATGGACTGGAGTTTTTAAGCATTTCTTTACAGCACAATGTCATTATGTTTTGCAAAAAAGAGGGGACACTGAAGGGGCATTGCAAGGACATCTTTTGATTTGTTTCTGCCTTTACTTTTTTCTCGCTCCTGCTTCATGGTACACATGGGAGGACATCCAGTGGAACAATGCCCTAGCCATATGCCCAGGGGTCAAGTCCCTCAGCAACCTGGCAGCTTTGACCAGGCACCACCTCCCAAAAAGGACACCATGCACTCCAGGCTTCATATCCACAATAGCACCCCAACTCCCCTTGCACACGGCTAACCAACCTGGGCTCACCTATATCTAAGGGGTGTTTTCCTGCTTGCCCAGCTACCGTGGACCAATTCTTGCCCCAGCAACTCAACAAACTTTTCTACCAGCAAACCCAGGCTGCAGTTATACCTTCTCCAATGAGGTCTGAAGCCTTGCCAAGTTGGCTTTTCCTTGGGGACTTTCAGACTTAGAACATTCCTTAAAGTTCCCTTTACATCTTTATAGTTACTCTCCTATCACAATTTAACAATTCTTTATATTAAACTTCCCTCTTTTTAAATTACTATGTGGCTTCTGTCTCCTGAGAAGATCCAGACTTATACACAAGAAGTATTGAGCCCTGGCCAGTTTGGCTCAGCGGTTAGAGCATTGGCCTGTGGAACAGAGTCCTAAGTTCGGTTCCCGGTTAGGGCACGTACCTCGGTTGCAGTTTGTCCCCGCCCCGGTTGGGGTCATGTGGGTGGCAACCACTCAATGTGCCTCTCTCCCATCAATGTTTCTCTCTCTCTTCCTCCCTCTCTCCCTCCAGCTCTATCTGAAGATAAATGCAAATGTCCTCGGGTGAGGATAAAAAAAAAAAAGTAGTATTGGGAGGTCCCTGGAGACAGACCCACAAAGATGAGATCTGACAATTGGTTTGGCCATGCCCTTGAGCTTGAGGGCAGTGCTGAGCTCCTTAACAATGAGAAACAAGATGCTAGCAATCCACAGCAGGTGTTTGAATCAAAATTAATCGAGATATCATTTGTGGTTTGCAGTAAGTGCTAACTGAGGCACATGGAAACCCAAGTGGCTGCTGATCTCTCCAGACCATAAAGAACTGTGATATGGGGTAGATTCTTCTGAGTACACTAGAGCACTTACACAGAAAAAAATAACAAGCTCAGGTCTAACTCTCAGCCCAGTTCTGAGAGCTTCCATGGCAGTTCTAAAACAATCTTATTTTTGAAGCCACGGAGCTAATTAATGAAAATAAAACACAAAGTTTACTTCTGAGGATTGTTAAATTAAAACAATAGTTGAATTCACAGAATCGCCAAGTTTCTCCTCTGAAATTTAGGACATGCAGTAGTAAACAATGGGATTCTAAAACAGAATGAAGACACTCAGACCCAGATAAAACTAACCAACTTAAACCCCCCAGTCTTCTGAGCCTCCCTTACCAGAAGTAGCTTACCCTCCCATATCAGAGACTAGCCTTCCACTGCTTAAAACTCCTAGGATAACTATACCTAGGGCAAATACATGAAAGGGGATATTCACTTTTATTAAAGCCTACCCTTACCATCTCTGATGTCACTAACCAGGCATGGCCAAAGGAAATAGATTACATACCAAAAGAACTGCAAGACTTTGATGATAAATTAATAGAAACCCATTGAACTTGTGTGGAAATGGATTTTAAGGTGTTAGACCAAGGATGGTGAAATGTAACACTATATCTGGTCTAATTCATTGATATGTGCCCACTCACTGTAACAGAGGTTAACAAACTGTTTTTGTAAATAAAAGTATACTGGAATAAAGCCATGCCCTTCTATCCCACACTGCCTATGACTTTCATGCTACAATGGCAAAGTTGAATAATTTTGACAAAAACCATATGGTCCTCAAAACCTAAAATATTTACTCTCTATCTGACCCTTTAGAAAAGATCTGCTGACTCCTATACTAGAGATCTTTAGTGTTAACTTGTGGAGTTGGCTCTAACAACTTACTTGGTTGGCTGACTGAAACTGGACTCAACAATGGCCTATGTTTAATAAAGCTGAGATTCCAGGGAATTTCCTAGCACAATAAGGAGGGATTCAAAACCCTAAAGAGACAGAAAAGTTGGACTGGATTCATTATTTACATACCGACTTCCCATCTATGTTCCATTAGAGGGCACAGCAGACAGTCCATTTACTAAGGCACTGAGAAACATATTAGTGGACCATCTGCAACCTTTTCAAAGCTCTGTGGTCACTCTCCTTTGTAGGACAGGTATGAGTATGGGGAATGCCATCATTGAGATGTGATTTCTGATTTCATTGGGGATGATGGGATCTTGGAGTAGGTGAACCTTAAGTAGCAGCACTTTACCACTACATATTAGGTAAGCGCATCAACTATAAATGGCATCAACTACAGAGGAGAATCTTAATAATCAGGTATAAAACGACATTATTTGTGGGTCTCAGTCACCTTCCTTCCCCATGACATCAGTGCCTGTGCAACGGATCCATGAACAAAATGGCCATGGTGGCAAGGATAGAGGATATGAATGGGCTAAAAAACATGGACTACTTACTCCTTTACCCAAGCTGATCTGGCTAAGTACCTACTCTGACAACACTAGAGAACAAACTTGAGTTCCCAATACAGCACCATAAAGGGTGAAGGAAGGAGCACAAGCCAGCCACCCGGTAACAGACTGATTAAATTCGTTCTCTTCCATTTTGGATCACCTTCACATATTCAGCATATGGTTTTGTCTGTAACGCTTCTTCCAGCACCACCATTAACAGACTCACAAAACGCATTATTCACCATCATGGCTTTCCATACAGCTTTGTATCTAATCAAGAAACACATTTACCCATTCACAGTAAAGAAAGTGCTGCAATTTGCTCATGCCCATAAAATTAATTGGTCTTACAACATATTCCTTCACCCAGAAGCAGCATGCCTATTTGAAAAAAATGAATGGCAACACTAGTTGGGAGACAAAACTTAAAAAACTATTTTGCAGGCTACAGGGTATACTTTCAGTGACAGGTCATCAGATGGTGCTATCTCCCCCATAGCCAAAATACATGGGGGTCCAAGAATCAAGAAGTAGAATTAGGAGTGGCTCCTCTCATTATTACACCTAATAATCCACTCACAAAATGTTTGCTTTGGCGTTCTTATTCCCCAAAGGGCAAATGCTTCCACAAGGAGATATATACAATGGTTCCAGTGAACTGGAAAATGAGAATGCCACCTTCACTGTTTTGTACTCATTATGGCACTGAAACCAACAGACCAAACAAACAAAAAAGTAACTGAATTATTTAATCTATTACAAGCAAAAAGCTGAACAAAGCTCACCTTAGCTTGCTTTTTTTTCTAATTAATTCTATTTTTATTTTTTAATGGATCTTTATTTTTTTAACTTATCTTTATTGTTGAATGTATTACAAATGTTCCTCATTTTTCCCCTATTGACGCCCTCCTCCTCACTCCCGCTCACCCTCTTGCCTTTCCCCACACTGCTGTCTGTGTCCATTGGTTATGCACTTATACATGTAAGTTCTTTGGTTTATCTCTTCCCACCCTCCACACCCCTTTCCCTTTGAGGTTTGTTAGTCTAACAACCAATTTGTACTTCTTAATCCCTTCACCTTTTTCACCCTTTCCCCAACCCCCTCCCATATGGCAACCAAAAATATGTTCTGTGTATCTATGAGAATGTTTCTGTTCTGCCTGTTCATTTTGTTTGTAGATTCAATTGTCGATAGATATGTATTCATTGCCATTTTGTTTGTTCATAT